GTGTTTTATAATGTTGTATACTAGTTGACTCTAAATTGCAACTTTATAAAAATGTAATAACTTCTGAAGTAGGCCTACTTGAAATTTCCATTGTGTAGCACCTGAAACCTAATTTCAGATTAACTCATTAGCTATTTCTAATRTTGCTCTGTGTGTATTTACTTTATTTCAATAAAACTGAAAATTGAAAACTTGTGAGATGTTATTTTATCTTGGTGTTGCTGTTATCAGAATGCTCCCTTCTTGTTCCATCACAAAATATAGTAAATTCCCACTATGTTTGAGTTTTTACAAAAGTAAATTCTATAGTGTTGTGCTTAAAGGCAGCTTTTGACTATGTTAATGTTAAAAAATTACAAACGTGGCAACATCAATGCTTAATCTTGAAAGTSGCTATAGCGTTGGACTTTGAGTGAWCAACTTGAAGCKATTAGCTTTCGCAGTACACTTTTATTTCCCAGCGTACATGAACGCCACATCAGTTTCTTATCCAATCAGGCGGGAAGCAGGGCGGGGCTTTCCAAACCCGACTTTTCCAACTACCGTGCTCACGTCATCACGGTGTAGCGATGAGGAGGGACGTGGAGCAGAACTGGTGGGCTCGAAGAAGTTCTGAAAACTAATAATGTAAAGTTTTAAGTCCTTATTGAGGAACACAAACTAACGGAAACTCTGGTTTCTTCGAGTGAGGTTGAGGTAAGAAACACCGCTGTTTTACTTTTTTCGTCACGGACGCTGTGATTTACGTAAATTTGTCGCGTGCGTGAAGGCGGCTCATTATTATTTTTGCGTAGCACAGCAGCGTTCAATGGCTAGGTTTATTTAGCTTTTTTTTAACGATTAATATTAAGCCCAGAGAGAGRGGATCAGGAGGTCACTTCTTCTGGGACGGGTATCTGTAGTTGTAGTTAAACAAGTGTCACTTTTGRTTCACGATTTTGTTTTCATCACAGTGAGGAAAAGTTAATAAGCAGTTTTGTCGATGTTCTGGCAGAAAAAATATGTAACTGTGCCTGTGACTGCTACATCTCCGGATATGTGGTCACTTGTTCTCGATGAATCCGCCTGAAGGCACTTTCTGTTCAGACTAAAAGCTGCATGTTGTCTTCAAATCAGAATGGGACACTTTTCCCTGCAGGGGGGCCATTTTTGCCTTTTTAAATGTGTTAAAGGGCCACACACTAAACTAAAAAATACAAATACCCAATATACCGCCCGAATCTGTCATTATCATTTGCTAAACACAAGTGAAAGTCTCGCTTTGTCTAGCCTGTATGACAACATGTTGTAGTTCACATTTATGCACAGTTGTAATCCATATATTTGAAACAATAAATGTTAAGTTTTCCCCTTTTGTCCTATGAGTAATTTAAAAACCTGATCCAAACCTGACAAAGAGATGTTTAGTCCTAGTATAAACCCAGCTTTTTTAGCCAATAAATAGGTGATCTTGATATATTTAATAAATCTTGTTTCATATTAATTTTAAGCTTTGTTTTGGTGATATCAAGGGCCAGACTGACATTGTCAAAGGGCCCCTTCTTGGCCCTCGGTCTGTATTTTGTTTG